TATTCATATTTATATGTAATTGTGTTAATCAAATATTCATTAATTTAGTTCAGAAGTTTCTTTATATTCAAAAGCTGTCTATTATTTTTAAAATGATATAAATTTGGACTTGCGGTTCTTGAACGTTCATAAAATCTATCATGCGGCTCCCATTGTCTTGATGTTTGGCCATCCCTGGCATATAATGTAGTAGTAAGTATGTGCAACAGTTAGCTAATGTCCACCACACCACTGGCGAATCACTAAATACTGGTAGTTTGACTGGTTTCAAATCCTGATGAATGGGCTGGCTGCAAGGTAGTTTTCATGGATTTCTTCATGTATAGCATGAATACAAGCCAATTTCTTTTAAAAAGAACTTCATGAAGACAAACCCCTTTCCTTGGTAGATACCCTTGTATGCATTGGGGGGGGGAAACAATTACGAGTATTATGTATCTTTAGCAGTGTTATACTTTTAAACCATAAACTCCCTCTGTATCCCTGGTGAATTCTGAAGTCTTAAATGCATTTCTAATCAGTGAAATTTTATTCAGTGCGATACTTATTTTTAATATGACAGAAATTGAATGCAATCAATCATGATAAGTTAACCTAGACTCAAATTTCAGAGTTATTCATGATATAGTGTTTTCTTTTCATGCATTACTGTGTTTATAATTATAATTATGTCTATTGGTAGAGTCAAAAGTCGTTAATTCGGACACCCATAATCCGGACCTCAAAGCTAAAACTTTGCATGCGCATAAGACCTTTACGGCTGCGAATGTGCGTTTACATAATGCATGTGCATAATACATTTATGCATGTGCATTTAATGTATAATGGACGGTATAGGCTAAGCTAAAATTATCTAATTCAGTTAATGTTGCAGATTGCGCTGTTTCTTAATCTTCGAATTGGATCTGGCTTATTATTTTTTGCAGACTGTTAGAGCAATTTTATAAAAGTAAGCTTGAACTTTCGATTATGTCAAATAGAATTTCCGATATATATTTACTAATATGTAAAGGATCTACAAAGCAAAAGTATGTTTCGAAGTCCATCAAACAAAAAGTGGAATTGCTGCAAAAAATGGATAAAGGCATATCCTTCGTTTCTCTAACCATTCCGAAATCTGTTTATCAATTTCACTCTGCTCTGCACGGGGGGGGGGGGGGACGCCGCGGAGCGCAATTAATTGGAAGTTGATCTGTCAGAACTATCCTTATCTTCAGAGCAGATGTTTTTATTTTATTTGGCTTATAATTCCTTACTAAATGTAGTATTTCATCTCGATGTACTCCGTCTTTGATATGATTTAAATCAAATTCCTCGTCATTATAATTCGCTTCCCGATAGTGAAGAAAGTGACACAGAGGTTATTGAAAACAAAAAAATTTTGATTGACAAATTAGTCGGTATTCTCGGCACAGCAATTATAGGACTTGAACAACGGAACTTTGTAACTGAAGAAGAAATTATATCTGTTTATAGAATTAAAGAGAAAGTATTATCACATAAACCGAAGCAAATTAAACAACTTACATTGAAAGAAATGTTTAATAAAGTAAACAAATAAATATTAAGCTTTTTTTTTTTTTTGTAAATTTTGATACCCTTTAGATCATAATTGTTCTTTATTTCATAAATTACGGTTTCATATTTTTAATTTTGTAATTTCTGCATGCCATCTTACCAGATTTAAACTGATGATCTATAATCCGGAATCGCCAAAGTCCGAGTCCGGATTAACAACTTTTGACTGTATAATATTGTATTCCTTGTAGTATATGACATATTTAGGGCTTTTTACTTCTATATAATCTCAGATGCAAATTTTTAAATGATATGCACAACACTAGCATTTGTAGCCCATGCAAGTTTTTAAAATGATTCAATAACTGTTTGTCATCTCAAGCCCTGGCCATGATTTCGATGAAGATAAAATCATCCATAGAAAGGCACCAAACCTTCTTGGTTCATATTAAGTAGACATGGCTGGGAGTTTCTTCAGTGGGGAAAACGATATTACTTGATAAGTAATGTCATATAATACTATTTATTCAACAGGTTTGACAGTTCACAACGGTATTCAAAATATTGTTCTGTTCATTGCCATGTAATTCAAAATTCCCGTTTCTTATCTATATCACAGAAAGGAAACTTTAAATAATATGAAACACCAAAAAAATTCGAAATGACTCATTGATCAACTTGGTTTGGAAAAATTTTTCAGAGCTGAGGGAAAGGGCGTTTTTTCAGTGTTTTGTGTGTTATCTTTAATTATTAAATATCGTGTTCTTCACAGTTGCACTTTAGCCACATAAAATTCAATTCAACAGCAATATCGCAAAATAATTTTAAAATAAGCATATCTTTAGAATTTCAAATACACAGCCTCGCGTGCTGGAGATAAAAATGTTTTTTTTCCACATACAGTGTTGCCATTGATAGCTTTGAAATCATTGAGTTTGTTAATAAAAAATTCCTTAAGTGTTACAAAATATGAAACCGATAAAAAATCAAATTCCAAATTAGGGCTTCCAGATGCCCATATTCGGTGGAGGATTACGTTATTCAAAATTTGATGGCTTCAGGTACTGCTATTTTATCACAATGGAGGGGAAAAAAAAAAAAAAAAAAACACTTCTAAATTTTTTTAAATATAATACAGGGCTCTAATATTTGGTGGCAACAGTTTGAAAAGTGAATCAATGGAAAATGCCAAAACGAAACTAATAGCCCTTCTGGGCCCTTTGAGCTAATAACACATAACTGATAGTCAAGCAAAATAGTCGAAATGATAGTCAAACAAATAACAGTCCTACAAATAGCAAGTAAAAGATACGAAAGTGAAAGGCAGGTTTATTGTATAAATACAGAATAGTTGAATAAGAGGATTAGATTATTTTAATGGTGCATTTAGCATGCAAAAAATAAATTATTTTAGTCTGTGAGCTCTATAGTAGTTAAAGCTAAAACTGCAGACAAATTAAATAACTTCTGCAAATCCTCTTACATCAGTGGAACACTAATATGGGAGACAGAGTACAGAAAGTTAGAACAATTATTTGCTTGCTTTTCTTCTCTATTACATTATTGTCTATCTGAAGATGCAACCTGAATATTCAATAAAATTATTTTAAGGCACAAATATGCAAAATATTGCAATGGTTGTGATAAATCTCTGAAATAATTTTGTTATTAATTTTTTTTTTTTTGCAAAATATCTCTTATAAATGTAAGCAAAATAATTACATGAATACCTAGATTGCTGATGCATTATATGTAATGTAATATGATAAATAATTAACTGAAATGGATAAAAATTATATTTTCAATAACTTGTGCAATTTTGTGTTTTAAGAAGTAATTAAAATATTTAAAATTAGTCAGTTGCTTTTTGTGCTTTTGTTTCATATTTTCAGAAATAAATGCAAAGACTTGCACTGATGTGCAATACTGGAAACCAAAAATGTTTAAAAATTTTTTTTGCGACATGAATTTTACAGGAACAGTGAATATTTCATAGACTACTTTTAAAAATAAGATTCCTAAAAATAATGGAACTATACTTTTTTTGCAGAAATATTCTTTGTAGCTTTAAAAAAAAATCACCATCTTCAATTATGTACAATCATGCATATAGAGATTTTAGCCTCTAAATTAAAGAGAAATATAATCATGATTAAAATATAATTATTATAACTAAATTAAGGAATTTCTTTTTTTTCATTAATGTATATATTTTAGTTCAAAGATAAAAAAATATATCATAACAATCAATTACAGTATTATTAGAAAAATTATCGTAAAATTATTATATAATATTTATCACATTTTTTTCCCCCCAATGGCAGATTGTGAACAGTTACAGTGTAACCCAGCCCATTAATCTATACAAGGCCAGATGTGGTGGTCTCTTTTATTATGGAGGCATCTAATAGATGGGCCACCATCGCCTCCTATGAAGGGACGGACAGTTACAACCATGCCTTCTCTGGGATTTGAACCCAGGCCCTTCGGTAGCGCAGTTAGCTTCCCTAACCACTATACCGACTGGGCGACTTATCACTTTAAAATTATGTAATGTAAAATACAAACTAAGAAAATGAATCTCTAATAAATTGATAACTTAATTAGCAATAGCTCTTTTAATTTCTGCTTTATGTGTTTATATGTCCCCTCCTAGCATCTGCAATGCATCAAAATTTCTCTTAACTGCACTCCTAGATCATTTCATAAGTGACTTAATAATGCTGATGACATAACTAATTCAGAATTTAAGCCAAAATTTTCTCTTGGGTGTGCTTCCATATTGTATAATTGTGCATTTTTCTTTCTACCTCTTCTGCCAATATGATGCTGGCATGCTGCTTTTCTTCATATCGCAAAAGAATAAAAAATATGTATGTTCTTGAATAGGCACGATCAGAATGCCGAATGAATTGTGGCCATAAATGTCAATTGAAATTAAGATGAATATTTAATCTTCCTTGACTGCCAAACTTGCTATTAAATTATGGATTAAACATTCTATGTTCCTATGCCATCAATATTGCCAAGTTTGCTTTATTTCATACATATACACACACCTTAATATAGCAAAATTAAACTTTGGAAACACTCATATTTTTACCAATATATAAATGTAGAAATTAAACATAATGTAATCAAATAGTTAATTATTTTTGCATCCTTAAATCTGTGCTCTTTGAATGCAGTGAAAATTAACATGGAAAAACTTCCTACTACAGGATTCATGCCCATCCACCCTATTTCATCAATGAATTGGTACAAATGGCGCATGCATGTTTGTGCTCGTGGTCGTGGCATTTTGCAGTTAAACTATATTAATGTTTACTTATATTCTTAAATTTACTAGTCATTTTTAGAGGTGGTTGGAATTAAACCTTTCTATTTTGCATCATTACACTTCGATTACAGAAAAGCTACGGCACAGAATTAAAAAAAAAAATAAATAAAATAAAAATAAAAATAAATAAAAATAACACATGTACAGTCAAATAAGAGCTTTATTTGGCAGTGAAAGGGGAAAAGCTATAAATTTTTAAAATTTGAGCAGCATTTTTAAACTTCAAAAGAGAATGGTAATTCTCAAAATGACTAAACAAATAATTTTCTAGTTAATTTCTCCAGTTAGCTTGGAGGTAGATACAATAATTTGAAACTTTTATTACATAAAATATATAATATTGCCACTTGCACCCCATAATTTTATAAATGTATACATATAGTGATAAATAAAAGAAATAAATTAAATACTGTTCAGCACACACATGCACAAATAACAATTATAAATAAATATCTGCACAAATTAGTGCTATAAAACACACAATGGAAAACATTTCATCAATTATAGATGGAATGTGTGTTATAAATCATTAAAATAAATCTATGAACTTTGTTGCAAGAACATGTACTAAAAACAGCTGCCTTAAAAACATTCTACAAGTGTTGATAGTCTCGCCAAAGGTGATGACTGGAATACAATGACAGAAGCATGACAGAATAAAAAAAGTAAGGCATGTTCTTTGGCTGATGACAAATATGATAGTTAATAAAATAAACTTCAATACTATAAAAATTAAAGAATGGCATTTTTCTCCACAAACTTAAAAGGAAACACATATCCAATTATACATTTATAGATAACATCAGTCAAACGATGCTACATACATTTCATCTGACACTTGAAGGCACCAAATATCTCACCGGACAATTCGACACAGCTTTTTTATAGAGCCATGGGCTAGCTCTGTTCACACAAGCACTTTTCCATAACTTAACGCAATTGCATCACCATTTGATAATTGGAAATGAATCTTAACTGAAGAGATATTGGTTATGTTTGACTTTTCACTAAACAAATATCACAAATAAAAATGGCTCGAGGCAACTATGAAATATTGGAAATGTATTGTGTATGCTCAAAATCAAGAGCTTTTAAATATTGGCAGTTAACACGTGCATGTTACATGCACTTTTAAATTCCATTCAATTCATGGCAATTGACTAATAGATGTAGCTGTGCTCTCCGACGGATTCAAAACTGTCAGATGGGTCAAATCTGAATGCAATGTAGTAAAGCTATCATCTGGTGGAGGACAAACTTTCTTCTGCAGACTCTGGACATAATTCTGAAATTAAATTATTTTACTTAATATTTAAACTTGCTACAAAACATTTAATGCTAATAATTATATTTATCATTATGCATATCAAACTCAATATTATTTTCACTATGAATGGCATCTTTATTTCATGACTGATAATACAAATGGTCAATCACAAATAGCATTTATAATGAAACTTAAATATCTAAAAACATACAGACTATTAATTTCAATAACAAATGATATTTTGGGTTGCATGATTAGAGCACAACTAGCTTCTTCAACCAAATTTTAATAACATTCAGACATTTAATTTTAGCTGAATTGTATCTCTCAGCTTTGAGAGATGCAGTGATTGCTTTTTGTTGTAGTACCTTCAATATATTTGTTTTGAAATACAGTGCAAAGTCTGTAATCGGGACGTCCATTATCCAGAATGATCTATAATCCGGACCTCAAAGCCACAAACCTTTTTCTTTTGTATGCATGCGCGTAATGCGTTTACGTATGCGCATTTAGCATAAGAAACGAAGCAAATTAAACAAGTAAATATTAAGCTTTTTTTTTTTTTTTAAATAAATTTTGATACCTTTTAGATCATAATTGCTCTTTATTTCATAAATTACAGTTTCATATTTTTTATTGTATAATTTCTGCATGCCATCTTACCAGATTTAAATTGATGATCTTTAATCCGGAAAAACCCTTAATCTGGAATCGCCGAAGTCCTGACGAGTCCGGATTACAGACTTTGTACTGTACTAACTATTATTATATATTAGGGAGGAAGAGATGAAAAGATATAATTCTAGAGCATAAAAGCTAAGAAGTATAAGATAAAATAACAAGACTGCACTTAATTTCAACTTTCAATGCAGGGGTGGCAGTCAAATAATAGTTTAAAGCTCCTTTCAGGAATCTGGGTAAAAGGATACAAGTATTGTTAAATATTCCCAAAATAAAAAAGAAACAGCAATTAAACTCAGTTTCCAATAAATAAGTCTTATTTTTCATCTAATATTTAATATGAAGTGAGGCATGTAGGATCATTGCCTTTACATATCTATTAAAGTTCAAAAGAACAGGACATTTTTTCTAAAGATTTATTTTGAATTCTCGCAAAATATAAATTAGCTATATTTTTCCTATCACGAGCTTACTAAATTAGTTTCATTATACTTTTTTTGTTTCAAAAATATAAATTTAAATAATAATACAATTTTAGATAATCTGCACGAATTGCAAACATTATAATTGCACATAGCATTTTATAATATCTATTGAGAAACACACAAGCTGAATTAATAATAATATTTAGAGCTATATTTTTATATGTCAATATATATATATATGTATATAAGTCAGAAATCAAGGATTCCCAAATTTTAGGGGAAGGCAAGCATTTGAGATAGAGAGGGTGTTATTTATCACTTATGAGGTAACTGCTCAAAACTAAAATTTTAGTAACTAAAAATCAGAAAAACATACTAGTTTTCTGAGTTATTCTGAATATTAAATATTTACTAATTCATATGATTTTATTTTTTCTAAAAGATAATAATAAGCAAAGATGAGATAATGCCATAGCAAAAAAATTTAGTTTAAATATTTAAAAAATAATAATTACTCATAAATTGAAAAACTAATCTGCCTCCCCAAAGAACTGGCTGCTGAGAAAGGCTCAAGCTACTTTATATTTTTAACCGCATGGGGTAACAAATACTATATATGTTCATGTATTAACCAAGGATTTTTCTACTATTAACCCAGCGGAAGTCGCACCATGAAAAGTTACTAGAGTGGGCGTATGGGGTATCACATACCCCAGTATTTAAAATATGATAAAAATAGTCTTATTTTGTTTTAAAGCTATTTTTCTTGTTCTCGTGTATTATAAATACGTGAATAATAATTGGATTTCAAAAAGTTAATTTCCAAAATAATCTTAGAGTTAAAATTAAGATAAATGAAAATAATAAAAAAATAAACATCATGCCTATAAGTTTCATTGCATCTCTAATACACAATGCTTATTTTATTTCTTTACACTTTGAATGAAATACTTTGTGTTCTTGGCACAGAACGTTTTCACATTTTATTTTAAACATTGCATTCACGTTCTTCTGTCCTTGGTGCAAGGGCAATTTATCACTTTCATACTTAGTTGTTTCAAATTTCGTGTATTCGTTTTAATTCTTCATCGAAACTTTTGCTTTTGTTTTGCATGCAGTACGTCAGTTTCTTGGTAAAGTGTTAATCTCTGATCCTTGTTCAATACTTTTTTCATTAATTGTAATGCTAAGTCCTTCAAAAACAGACTTCTGTTTCGGGTTGGTGGATTAGCAGTGGAATGTAATATAATTCAAGCATTTATTACAGCAACATTCAGTGCAGCAGAAAAGAAAATTACCATTGGCCACCTCTCCTTGTTATATTGGCAATTGAATAATTGGCTGACATTTCATTCCACATATCCACTGCTCCTTTAGTCATATTATAAAAACATATAATTCCTGATGTTTTATTTTCTCCAATAGTACCATCTATAGTACGATCGTTATATAATATTGAAAGCATAAGAACAATTTTTCCTTTTTTAGGAACATTAGGAATTAATGTTTTATCTTTTGCGAAACCAAAAACAGTGTCAAAAATATTCCTAGTTTCATCTTCAGTTTCCAAAATGCAATCTTCATCACTTTTAAATATTTCTAGTAAATCTCACAGGCGTTGCATCTTCAACTCATAGGGAGTCATTCTTTTTACCATAATGCAGTTAGAAATTTTTAAGAATTTAATGTCAAGTACTTTAAAATCACTTACGAGTAGAAATATTTACTGTTACACTCTAGAAATAAATTTCTGAACTAAATATTCAGTCAGAAAAACACTTACGTGGACAGGCGCGTGGGTGTGTCATACCCCAGTTCCAACAAAATACTGATAAATCTTTTTCTGAAACACACAGGCAAAGAAAAAGCAGTTCTGAAAGTCAACCACAACTAGAAACTCAGCTACTGAATGCAGCACAGAATTTTAGTTTTACAAGTTAGGTATATTCCACTTTTATGTAGGGGTGGGATATGATACACACCACGTGCTTTCCCGCGGGTTAAAGATTGGGGATTTATTTAAATAAAAGTTGAAAATGATTTCCAAATAATTCAAACACAAAAATGATATTACAGATTAAGTTAAATGAAGAAATATTATTTTCATTTTATTTGATGCTAATACACATTAATCAAATTTCTTAATATTGGTACTGACACAAAATTTTCTAGCAATTTTTTAAGTCCCTTTGCTAGAGGCAGGTGCAAAAGAATGTTACTGTTTTCTATTTCATCATTAACATCTTTGTTATATAAAATAAATGTTAAAATTTATTAAAAAAAGATATTGTTAAAATTTTGTACATAGATAGACGATTTTAGCACAATTTTATGTGAAACTGTTGTATCTTTCCGTGTAATACAACATAAAAAAATCGAGAAAGAGAAGCTATACGGGAAAGTAAGAATACAGGGGCAAGTCTGTTTAACATTTAATAAATGGGTATCTCGATAATTTGGCGATATATCGGCAAGCCGGCCACGGTTTCGGCAACTAATTTTTGTCCAGTCCTAGTCTCACCGTAACAGGTACTGTAATTGAAAAATGTAATTGATCACTATATTAGCTGCAACCGTAGTTCGACCCTCGTATTGCCTTCCAGTAATTTCAAGAAGCAGAAAGCACTAGAAATTTCTCGGCCATCATTTGTTCTCAGTTGTTAGCTAAGCATGAGTTCTGAGTACTATCTCCAGTTTAGCTTTGCTCTTTGCTGCGCTTTGCATTGCATTGTGCTTAATGTTCATAGTAGTTTGAAGTGTAACTACTGACTGTACTCTGTGATATTGGTAAGTTGTACGAGTATTTTTGTGAAAATCTCCAGATCTCTGAAGTGTTTCTTTTGATATATGTTTGGAATGCAAGCAACTTTAATAAAATGTGGCTACTAGATAAACAATAAAGTTCTAGTAAATTTACTACATTGGGTGCATACTTTCTTAATTTAATAGGAAGTAAGTATATAGGTGTTATATCAATCATAGAAATTTTGAAGAATGGAAATTTGTGGAACAACACTTTGAGCAATCAAGAAAGGAATATAAGAAAAGTATTAGAATAATATTTATAACGATATCTTACCTGGGAAATAACATCACCATGTGCTGTGCGAACCTGATATAAGTAGCGATATTTCTTTTGACGTTGTTCGGCTCGAGATTCTTCTTGTCTAATTCTTTGTAAATTAAGCTGCCTTGTTCTTCGTCTGGGAGGAGCAACTATGGTGATAAAAACCTTTTTTAACTCAGAAATTAAAAAAGTACATTGATTTGATAATAATATCTTTATAGATATGTAACAAAATTATTCTGTATATCTAAAAATAGATATACTATAAAACACTCCTGGAAGGAATTCAGAAAGACCTCCTTTGTGAAAAAATTAATAAACTTTAAATATCACTCTCTTAAAGTGAATTTGTACCAATATACTTGAATTAGAAAAATGCTTTTTAATTGCTATTACTTTTCCAAATTTATTAATGTTCAAAATGTTGTCCTTATTTGATAATGTTAGATTGAAAATACTCAGTAAAGTGAATTTTCAGTCATTTTGGTTCTTAATTTACTATTTCATGTACAAGTCTTGGAGATTATATGAAAGTTTAAATCAATTAATTTTTGCTGTTAACTTCAACCTCCTTCCCCCCAAATTTTTTTTTCACAGAAACTTCATTGCTTCAAATTCCAATACCATAGTTGCCAATCTTAAAATACAACAAAGGGACCTTAAAAGTTTTTGCACTGAGTGGCAATGTCATTTCAAAAGAACTTAAACCGCTGACTTGAAATGAATTCAGTTTGAAGTCATCTGAATACAGTTATATCAGTATCATTATAAATAGTTTGATAACCAGAACTGTGAATGATTCAGATTATCAAACTATTTATAATGTGATTCTGATATAAAATATATTAATATTTAATCAGATATTCAAAACGCTGGCTCTCGGTTGATTTCATCTTGCAATATTTTTATATACAGAGAAAATCTTGAGTAGGAAAGAAATGCTTTTAAATAATAATATTAATAATTAATGAACATAACTCAGTAGTAGTAAGGATAACTTAGGAATGTAATATTTATTAATGTAAAATAACACTATACACAAATTACGATTAAACAGTTGAAGCTTTATTCAAAGTTCCATAAATGTGTACAGCACATTTAAATAATTCAGATTAAAAAAAAAATTAACAAGAAAAATAATGCTGAAAATCACGAGCACTGGGAGAATGGAATTTTCACAAATTAACTTTAATTTCAACAAAATCTATTTATTGCTGAAAAACACTTCCCTTAATAAAAAATAAAATTTAAAAATTGAAAGATTTGGTGATCTACCAGGTAATGAGACAAAAATGTGGAAGTCTTGGTAAAAATGGAGAGTTCTCAGCTATGAAATGCTCTCATGGATATGATTGCAACATCTATTTTTAGCCTTCCTATTGAAGAAGAAAACTTTCAAAAATGTAGAATCTTGCAGCACAAATTTTTTTAAAAACGTTACACTTTGGAGTAAAATAAAATTTTATACTTTTAACAAGTGAGTTAAATAAAAGCATTCATAAACTGAAATTTAGATATTTGGATGTGGAACTTTGTAAATATTAGTATTTAAATTAGTATAAAAATTTAAATTTTACCTTTAAAACTATATAGTTTCCTTAGAGTCATTAAAAAATTATATAAAAAATGTTACATTACGAAAAGGGCAAAATACCTTTTTCAGAGAGAAATGAGGAAAACTAAATAAACCAATTTTTAGAATTACTGAACTTTTATGTCCGAACATAGATACAATTTGGAAATTAAAATAAAATTTAGAATAAAAAGCTGTAATCAAAATTTTTAATTTATTTAAACTACAGAGCAAACTTTATAATTCATGAACTACAATTTTTGTTTACATTTTACTTCTTTTTACAGTTCTAAAAACTAAAAATTTATGAAGTATACTTATAATTATTGTCTTTTGGCTTTTTAATGATATTATTTTTAAATGTGGTTGCAACAAAAGGTTTCTGCCAAAAAAATTTCTTAATAAAGTCAGAACACCCCCACCCCAAAGCAGTACCTTTAGTCCAGGTACTAATCACCACCTAAATGTATGATTTTCTGCCAATGTTTTGGTAGTTTTTTAAAGCCTTCAGCCCAGAAAATTAGTGGCTGCGAGTTCAAAAACAGACAACCTCATTTCAGACAGCCTGTGCAGAATGGAAGATAGTATCAGCAAGATGTAGCTGCAGGTATAAAAAAAGATAGAAATCCGAAGGAGCTATGTCGGGGCTATGTGGTGGGTGTGGCAAAAGATTCCATTTAAGTCTGTACAGAATTCAGCCAGTGAATGCAAACGCATGTGGTCTTGGCATTATCTTGATGGAACATTACCGTTCTGCACCGGAACTCAGTTCAATGTTTTTCCTTGATAGCAGAGTTAACATGGTCTAGCATCTCACTAAACACCTTACTATCGAGGGTTTTGCCTCTTTCCAGACACTCTTTGTGGATAATACCACAGCAATTCCACCAGATACAAAACATGATTTTTCCGTTAGTGAAACTGCGTTTTGCGATGCTCATTGGGTGCAGACCAATCCCCTATTCAGCCTATGTTGTTGAAGTAAATCTACTTTTCATCAGAAAGGAGGATGCGGTCCAGAATTGGATTCTTGCATTGATATTCGAGCAGATTAGTGCAGGCCCGTACACGTCTGTTCTTCTCTGCATGAGTCAGCTAATGCGTCACCTAGTGATTGAATTTGTATGTCAAGTTTATGCAATGCATAGTGTGACTAATGGACATGGAACTAATGTCTAACTCCTTAGCAAGCTCTTGAGTGGTTGCATACTGATCGTCTTCCCCAAGTTCCTGTAAGTGGGCCTTATCAACATCAGTAGGCTCAGAGCTTTGTTTCTTGAATACAATAGTCCTTGTTTTTGAACTTTTGGTATCAAGCCTTCACAGTGTCATATAATACAGCATTAGTACCTGATATGTACTTTTTGGAATAGAACAAGAAGTAAATGATGTTTCTATTCTGATAGAGTGATAGTTTTGTTTCAGACACCTTGTACTTAATAATAATGACAATTTTTTACAAATTTCACAACATAGTGCTCTAAAGCAGGTATTTTTCTTTCAGATGCCAAAAAGCATTTGAAAAAATATTATTAAACATGTCAACATGAACTGTTTGCACAGACAATATTTGCGGTGGCGGGAAACGTTCGTTAAAACCCAATATTTATTTTGTATATTAACTATATAAACTCATTTCAAATAGAAAAAAAAAAAAAAAAAAAAAAATGTTTTTCTTTATTTTGCCATAAATTTTGGATAAAAACAGTATAAATAAATTCTCATTTTATCTGATGGAGAATGAGCTAAAAAATTTGTTGGTTTAGCTCATATTTTTTATCCTGTTCCAATGCTTGGTGCAATATTTTGCTTTTATTTGTAATTTGTGACTTAACATTTAGTATTAAATTTTCAGCATTTGAATTTTTATAGCAATCTAGCAAATTCTATGCACGAGTGCAATTTGTAGCAAATAGTGTAGAAATTACTAAGTTTTCAGTAAACGATTCTGAAACAAGAAAAAGATAAATAAAAACCGCCGAAGCCAAACTTGTCTTTAAACAAACAAAAAACTACTTACGCTGTTGGTGATGAATTCCAATGCCAGTAATGCGCCACTGAGTAAGAGTCCCTACAAGAATCATGAATGGCCAAACTCCAAGAATCAGCCAAGAGAACCAGCAAACTGGTAAAGATATGGAAAGTCTTATTCTATCCCACACCCAATGAATCATTATGTATTTCTCTATAAAATAATCTGCACAAATTGCAATTATGGCACCACCATAAATACTAGTTCCTAATATAGTTAAACCTGCAAATAAAGAAGCAAACAAATTTAACAAAATTAATAAAGAAAGACTTAAAATAAATTTAATACAGAAATTTTTGACGTTTTATGCTTCAGAAGATTTCAATTCTGAAAAATATCAAAAATGCATGCAATTTAATTTTAAATTGGTTTTATACTGATCTTGGAAAAAAAAAAAAAAGTAGGCTTTATTTCAATGCCGCTTGACACAATGTTAAAAGGTTCCAGTTTTAGGATATATGGCACTATCCATATTATAACAGAATTATAATAACATATTTTTATTAATGTAAAGTGCCTTTAAAATTACAATTTTAATTAAAAAAAATTTTTTTTAACATATAGGAATGCACACAAAGCATACCATACCCAAGGTTAGGCTCGTTGTCATATATTTCAAACCCATTCTCTGCAAATAGATGCAACTGATATTCTTTGTGTGTAAAACTGCCAAAGCAAATGGTAGAATACACCTCAAAAAATTACATCCCAGAATACAAAATAACTCTCCCTGAAAATTCAACGTTCATTCTCTTCCAGCCAAGTATAGCATATAAGAACAGTGATGCAATGTTTGTTTATTTCTTATTTATGCTCCCTTTTACAATTAGATGTCACTTCATTTCTGTTCCAGTCCATTCCTATTGGTGTTAAAGGGCAAAATATAATACTTACATTATGTATAATTTTGGTTATATTCTGTTGAACTATTCTTATAAAGGATGCAAAAGTCAAAATTAGATTTTATTGGCAATTGTTGAAGCTGTGTATGTGTAACTTTTGCAGGAATTTTATAATGTATATTTTTACTACACCAAATTTTATTCCACTTAAATAATTAAAAAATATTATAAGGAATTAAAAATGCTTTACCTTTTTGCCAGAATAATGTAAGGACAGCACCAGCAAGACCACATCCCATGAGTATGGCAACAATCAACCAGATGTTATTTGGTGTATACCAAAGATGAGAAATTAAGATGACAGCAACACCCAGGAATAATCCTGTATGAAAGCCAGTCATGAAGAGACCAACATATTGCACAAGCATTGTAATGAGGCCAAACAGTAAACCAGCACCCAAAGCTACACCAGCATTACCAGCAGCAGACAACAGATCTTCTTGCTGACAAATCAAATAGACAAGAACTGTGCCAAATGTGAAACCAGTGAGGAACATCACAGCTTTGAAACAACGATAGCCTAAAAAAGAGTAAAGTTGCTATATAATAAATATTTTTATCTAATAAGGTAGTATAGAATATTTTACTAACAGGCAAAATTAATAAATTAATTATTACACAATGCAGCTTTTGTATGAAGATAAAATTATTGTTTAATGTATCCGACACATTTCTGAATGTCACCATGTGGCTTGTTGTTGAATCTTCCAGATAAAGGAAGTGAAATGCTGTAGAATATGACACTGCGCATATACTGAGTATGCAAAAACAGTGATATGTACACAGGAATACTGAAGGAATTTTTCAGCTTCTCATATGACTTGAGTTTTGACTAAATTATTTCAACCAAAATGGGTGAAGTTATGAGGCATGACACACACACACACAAAAAGACTTTCAATAAATCAGTGTGCTTACAGAATTGGTTCTTTGTAATGTTATCACCTTCAAAGCAGTCTCCTTCAGCATTCACCCACTTCTGCAGTCAGTGTTGCCACGGCTGGTAATAGTTTTGGAATGAGGTTTCTGGAAGGCCCTTCAGGAGATTCTCCATTTTCGCTTGAACATCTTTAATTAAGGTAAAACGGGATCCCTTTATGCAAAATTTAACTTAAAACAGTCTGACCATTGGAAACCCACCTATTCAATAGAACTCCCTTAATATTGAAGAAGACAATCAACATTGCCTCAATTTTTGATTTTGACATGTGCTTTTTTTTTTTTTTTTTTTGAATTGGGGATTCAGGACACTTCCACTGCATTGACTGGTCCCATGGTTCAACACAAGTTAACAACTGATTCCAACAAATTAAACTTGTTTCTGATGTCTTCTAGCACATCCACACATGTCTTAATGGCATTGTTTTTGGTTATTGGACAAAACTTTTAAAACAACATTTGCACGAATCTTCCACATGTATAATTCCTCAGTTAAAATGCATTGGACAGCTTGCTTTCCTATTCAAGTTAACCAACTCTGCTACTGTACAAACACTTAATCTTTGGTCACACCAGATAACCTCACAAACTTTGGTAATGCTTTGGTCCATAATCGCTGATCTTAGGTGTCCAGAATGTTCATCATTTTCTGCACTGTCCCTTCCCTCCAAAAACCATTTATACCATTCAAATTCACATGCTTGAGACAAATTTTCAACTCCATAAGCCTCGGCTAACATTTGAAATGCTTCTGTGGTTTATTTCTTAAGTTTAACATGAAATTTGATGTTCATTGACTCTTCAGTTTTTTTTATTAGATAGTTTTCCAGCAGAATGCAGTTCCACATGTTTACTTACTGATGCAATACTCCCAACTGTCATGATCCGAGTTGAAACTAACAGCACAGATAGAGGAGGGGTGTACATCACATAACAGTTGCTGCCAACTTCAACCCTTTTCAAGTTACGCACTTAGTCTCTCTCTCTCTTTTTTTTTTTTTTTCATTTTTTTTTGTGGTCTTTGTTTCACCTTGTATCGCATTTCTGATACTTTCAAGCACCTCTGTTTTTTCTCTAAAGCTGCCTTTTGTTTGGATTTGATAATCTAGTGAAGAAAAAGACCTAGAAAAATCCTTAGATAGTTAAAAAGAAGAACGTACAATAAAATTTTCCAAATGTTGGATGAAGTGAAATGAAGGTTCATGACTCAAACTGCTTACATCTAAGATTTCTGTAACCTCTAAATACACTGGTTATCATAAATTAAGGAAAAATCACAAAAATCACGATTACTCAAAATGTTACATGTAGAATTTTATGAAACTTACCCACAATATACAACACATAGTAAGGTATCAAATAACATAAATTACCAGACAATAATGGTAGTATAGAAATTAGCACATGTATAAAATGAACAACTCGAAGGTGTCAATTTACTATAAGAAAAGTACCTTCAATAGGGAATATGGTCGCCTCTAGAAGCAATACAGCACATACAGTGATGCTTGATGCTTTCAATTATGTGGTATATCAGTTCCATAGGAAGCGAGAGCCATTGCTCTTGCAAAGCTGTTGCAAGCCCGGTAAGGGTCTGAGAGGCAGCTAGACGTCTCTCTAAATCATCTCAAACATGCTCGATAGGATTCAAGTCCGGGGATCGAGCTGGCCAATCCATGCGCATAATTGTTTACTGTTGAAGATAATCATTTACGAGGCAGATAGCCCCCGAGGCTTTGCCGTAATTAAATTACCTAACCTAAAAAAAAAAAATTACATACCATTTACGATGCGAGCCCTGTGTGGTCTTGCGTTGTCGATCTGTAACAGGAAAGCATCACCTATTGCTGCGGCATATGGGCGCACATAAGCATCAAGGATGTCATCTCTATAAACACGAGCATTCATGGTTTCCCTTTATCTGTTTGACATTTAGGTCTGTGCCTCTAGTCTTCACAGACATTGCCCCTTTTTATTGTAGTTATTTCACGGCAAATTGATGGCCTGGAGATCATTTTTATGAATTGGCTGTCTCAGATTTCTGATGTCACTATCACAGTGAAATATATGGGCTTGCTCTCAAACAGGGACTTTTATGCTCCTCGCAGATGATGTATTCCGAGTGTAGCGCAACTAATTTGCATATTGGAGTTTTACTCAACTACTCTTACTTGGCAACATATTCAAGTTTTACATGGTTTGACGTATTTTTGAGGGAGTTATCGCTATTTTTGTGATTTTTCCTTAATTTATTATAACCGGTGTATATGGAAAGATACATTACTATGGGTTTGAGAGAAACACTTAGCCATTTCAAGTACTCATTAATATACAGTTCAATCTTAGATTAATAAACAGCATTTCCATAATGAATTCAATTACTGACAGTGAAATGCCCAGTAGAATCATAACAGTAGAAAAACATGGAGGTCTGTGCGTCCACCCAAAGAGATGCCACTCCAAACACAGATACTGCCCCTTCCGTATGCATCTCTTTCACGGATGTTTGACAGATGATAACGGGTTCCAGGTTCTCTTCATATCAAATAACGCCTACTATCGCATTCTAGACTAAACCTGGACTCATCCGTCAAGAGAATAACCCTCCACTGCTTAGGCGTCCAGTGGACCTGTTGTCGTGACCACTGAAAACGGTCCCTCCTATGGCGTGATTTGAGCGGCATGCAAATGGTTGTTTGCCTCGCATACAGACCACCTTTATGAAGCCTTCTACACACAATTGACGTTGACACCAACCTTCCGGTGTCTGCAGCAGGGGGAGGATCTAAGAAGAGTCGAAGTAGCGATTCTATTCCTGAGTGTACATAATGTCAAATATTGGTCATCGGCGCTCGTCATAGCAGTTGGCCGTCTTTGGCTGAACCTTCTAGGTGCCGAATCTGTGATTTGAAATTGCCTCCAAAGTCTATGAATCACAGAAGGACTCACATTTAGCCATCTGGCCACTTCTGTTTGACTTTATCTTGCCTCTAGTCTTCCAGTGGCTTTTTATTGTAGTTATGCAGGCAAATGATGCCTGGAGATCATTGTTATGAATTGGCTGTCTCAGATTTCTGATGTCACTATCACAGTGAAATATATGGGCTTGCTCTCAAACAGGGACTTTTATGCTCCTCGCAGATGATGTATTCCGAGTGTAGCGCAACTAATTTGCATATTGGAGTTTTACTCAACTACTCTTACTTGGCAACATATTCAAGTTTTACATGGTTTGACGTATTTTTGAGGGAGTTATCGCTATTTTTGTGATTTTTCCTTAATTTATTATAACTGTGTATATGGAAAGATACATTACTATGGGTTTGAGAGAAACACTTAGCCATTTCAAGTACTCATTAATATACAGTTCAATCTTAGATTAATAAACAGCATTTCCATAATGAATTCAATTACTGACAGTGAAATGCCCAGTAGAATCATAACATTTTGAGAAGGAATATAACTAATGACACAACAGAACAACTTATCTAAAGAAATGATTTAAAGTTATGATATTATATAATTAAAAAAATTCTTTAAGAGTATTTACACCCACAAAGCACAAAATTTTCTTATTTTAAAGTATATAATAATTTAGGCCTATAATGAAATTTTGATACTTTTATATAAAAGTATAATACTTTTTCAGCAAACACAAAATAAATCAATCACAGAATAAAATTAAACTATTACATAATTTGGATTTTTATGTAGTTTCATTGCCAATTATTTTATTAACCCAGACAGCTATTACGTCTCAAAACATCATTTTGTGGCATTTCAATTTTTCCTACGAAATATTATGGCCCTGTATTATATTTAAAGAAATTAAATAATGAAGAATCTGTATGAATAGATGTACAGTGGAACCTCAAGATACGAGCACCTCTATATTTGAGAAATTCGAGATACGAGAAAAGCATGAGTGGAAAATTCGTCTCTAAATATGAGCATAGACTCGAATAATGAACCAGGCTGTTGGTATGCATGGTGCTATTTCCCGATATGGCTCAACTCGGGGAATCCCCTAATCAGATCACTTGATGTTTTTTGATCTACGCGTTTGTGTACTTGTAAGTTAATTGTTTTTTACATTTAACATGAAAATAATTATTTCACGATGCCTATCAAGAAGATTTGCCTCAGATAGAGCTGCAAATAAAAAGAAGGAACCATGGGCATTGAAATTAAGTAAGAAGTCATAGATTTAAATAAGCGTAGTGTAAGTGACGGAATTAGCGAAGACTTGCCATTCGACATTGATGATCTGCACTATTCTGAAGAAGAAGGAAGAAATTAAGAAACTTGATGTAAGCAAGGAGTTACCGTTACTGCCAAGCACCACTCAAACTCCTAGAAGATGCTGAGTTGGTGTGGATTAACGAGAAGTAATTGAAAGGCGATTCGGTGTTGGAAGCTATCATAAAGGTAAACTACGGTTTATATTATTTAACTGTTTATTTATTAGAAAATTGATTTTTATGTTGATATTTTTGGGGGTGCAGAACAGATTAACTGGATTCCCATTATTTTCAAAGGGGAAGTTTGTTTCTAGATACGAGAATTTCGCTATATAGAAGCTCAATACTGGAACAAATTAAACTCGTATCTAGAGGTTCCACTGCATATTTCTTGAATTTTGAATAACGCAGTTCTCCGCTTGAATACGTGCACCTGGCAGCCCAAATTTTAAATTTTGAATTTGTTTTATTATCTATTTCCCATTTAGCAAAACTTAAAAAAATTTGAGTAATAAACTCAACAATTTAAAGTGAGCAATGGCAACACTGCATGAAAAAAAATTTAATCTCCAGCACATGAGGCTGTCTATCAGACATTCTAAAGATATGCTATTTTTATATATTTTGTGATATTTCTGTGGAATTGAATTTTATGTGGTTTAAGTGCAAAGAACTTGATATTTAATAAATAAAAGTAACACACAAAATGATAAAAAAAGTCCCTTTAGTCATAATATATAATTTAAAAGTTTTTAGATTTTTAAAAAATTTTTTATATAGTCATCTTGTTAACTTCTTATATGGTTCTTGCATTTCTTATTACAGAAATGAAGCCCTGACTATAAACTATCAAAGCTTTAAAAGGTATTCTGACCATGATGTCAAAATATATAACAGTTCACATCCACCCAATGACTTGAAATACAACGAAATGTGAAAAATATAATACTCAGTATTTTTATATTATCTGCCAAGGCATCATCCACCGAAGGCCATTTGAATAGCTTCAGTCATTTTTTTTAGACTTTACACCAGTTTACTTTTTGCAAAGAAAGTTTGCTTTTCTCTTGAATTTTTCTAAAAGGCTTAAAATTTGTGACCTGGTTTGGTAATACAGTCAAATACAGAAAATCCGCCGACCTGAAATTTGCCAACTCCTGAAATCCACGTTTCCTCTCAGAATATAAGCATTCAGTTTATAGGTTCCGGAAACCGCAACATTGAGTACGAAATATGGAAGAAAAAAATACTTGCCGAATAATAATGTCATAATTACCGAATAATAATGAGTCAAAACGGAAATACCAAATCATTGGCATAAAAATGTTTAAAAAAATAAGATTAGTTTTCCCCCCTCTAATCTGCATCAAGGTAAAAAAAGCAGACGATTCACTCAACTCTTTGTTCAAGTTCACAAATCGTTTATTTTCTGAGCTTTTTTATTTCATTTCACGAGATTGTTTAGTGCTGCCTTTTTTTTTTTATCCGGATATTTTGTGGATAAATTAAGAATATTTATTTTAAATTTCAGCCCTTTTTAATACAATGACAGATAAGAAACGCATTCATAATTTTACTGCTTGCGACGTTGAAAAACGTAAACACGTTGCATTGACTGTAACACAAAAAGTGCAAATTCTGCAAAAGATGGAAGCAGGTGCTACTCCTTGATTTATAGCAAAATGGTATGGAATTGTTGCGACACAATTGTGTATGATATGGAAAAATAAAGAAAAGCTGTTGAAATTTTACAGCAACAGTGATTCTAACACCGGAAATCTTTGCATGAGGCGAAATCGGCAAACCTCGACGCTGTGTACATATAATACAGTGAATAATATAATCAATTTATATATGTAATAATAATTTTATGCATATAATAAATTATTGCAATAATCTATATAATAATTTAATTCAATGTATCTAATACGTCTTATTCATTTTGCACTTTTAGTCCGAATATTATGCTTTATCTTTTCTGTTTTAAAATACGCACGACCTCTGGTTCCAAGCTTTACAGATTTCTGGAATTCTACTGTACTCAGAACATTGAAAGCTTCTAAGTGTTAAGCCCAATGGCATAATAGAAAACATCACAACTGTGCAACACCACTTAAATCACTTACCCACTAATTTATATAACATCAAATACACTACATCTAAAATTTGTATTTGATAACCATTTACCAAAATATAAAGCAACTTGTTCCTCAAACACTTGCTGGAATGAAAGACACATTTTTGATGGGATCTCTGCTAACTTTTATGGTCAATGGATAGCTGTTACTTGAGATTTATTCCTATTGTAATTAAAATCAGTAACAAATATTTACAAGCAAACACACTCAGTCAATTAGTATTGGATTTTATGCCACACAAAGAAGTTTATATTTGTTCTTGTGTTATGCAGAAGGAAATATGCTTAATCTTTATTGCATAATATTCTTCATAGAATACAAACAATAACAAAGCGCTTAAATCAATGAGATCTTGTAACATTTAGGATTTAACCTGAATAAGGGATATTTCAATTTGTAAAATAAGGACAATCCTTCAACACCAGCTTTTAAAATAAAATCTTGTGCACATTGCCTGAGCAATTAAATTTAGAATTCTCTGCAGATATAAGCCATAAAAAATGTTGATCATATAAATAATTTCTACAATCCCTCCCCATATTGCTGTTCATAAATATTAATATAAAACATATTTAAATTTTATACTTACCATACAATGTATACACAACACCAAATGATAAATACATGCCACAAATAACTGCTGTGCTAATGTCAAAATTATAATCATAGTAGAGACATCGATCAACATCTGTGGAGACTGAACTATTTTCGTAGAAGTACTCATCATCAGGATGCGGTCTGTATTCATCCCAAGTAGACATTCTGAATTTAAATCTACCAAATACTATAAAATCAGAAATGAAGCATTAAAAAGTGAAATAACTTTTAAAGCATCTTAAGACTTTCCCAGAACAATAAAAATTACTCCTATCCAATTCTAATACAAACTTATTTTATAAAAATAATGTATATATCTAAAATATAAAACTTGAAACAAAATTATTAAACTTAATTAGAACCAAAGCATACAAAGTTATTTTATAAAAAATAATATATACATGTAAAATTGAAACAAAATTATTTAACTTAATTAGAATCAGCTGGCAACAAATCTTTAAATTTACAATTTTTAATTAAATAGTTCCCCACTTCAAGGATACTCTTTGCACCATTTTGTGTCACTCTGCAGCATCTCTGTTATGTCACTCTTTTCCCTGTTTCCTGCAATTTCTCTGCACGGCAAAATATTTTGCTGCTATTGCTGCTCAGGTTTCAAACAGAGACTTTCTGAGCTTATAAATATGACTATGGTTAGTACGCATCACTTTTTTGTCTTCTTGCACTGCCTAGGAAAGTCATGTCTCTTTGTCAAGTTCCTTTTTCTATTATCTAAAATGTCAACTACATATATAGAAAATTGTAAGGCATGTTTAGCATTCCTAATGCTGTACGAGTTTAAGTAAAAATATGCCTTTGAAGAAATCTTTCTGTTAAAAATAAAAATTAAGTTTTAACAATCAAGCCAGTTGTGATTTTCCCTCAACTCTTATCTCTGCAATAGTTTTTCTTGACCATGTTGAAAAAGTAAATTGGTTTCATCTTCTTTAGTTAGCTCTCTGCTAAATTCTATCAATGTACGACTGCAAAACTCTAAAAATTTTGCATATACGGCATCCAGAAAGTAAGTTTCCCTATTTAAAAAAACAAAAAAAGAACTCGCACTTTCAGGAACATATTTATTGGCAACAAGTACAGCAATGTTTCAGCAATCTTTCATCATAGCCACCACCAGAATTGAAACACTTGTCATATCATGGGATCAACTTTTGTATCCCTCTGTAATACTTATTAATAATACTGTCTTTTGTATCGTAATTTATAAAATAAAGAACAATTATGATCTAAAGGATAACAAAATTTATAAAAAAAAGCTTAATCTTTATTTATTTACTTTATTACACATTTCTTTCAAGGTAAGTTGTTTAAGTTGCTTTTTTGTGCTAATATTTTCTCTTTAATTCTGTAGATAGACATAATTTCTTATTCAGTTACAAAGTTCATTGTTCAAGTCCTAATTGATGCATCGAGAATTCCAACTAAGTTGTCAATCGAAATTTTTTCGTTTTCAATAACTTCTCTATCACTTTCTTCACTATCGGTAGTGGTATTTTCTGGATCTAGAACCATACTACAGATTTCGCCATCCGTTAATTTATTGATAATTGGGGCATTGTCATTGCTATGAAAAAATTCTCTTAGATCATCTTCATTTATTACTGTTTCTCCATTTTTTAAATCACTTAATTAGAAAATTTAATCTTTTGTTTGTGATATCCGAAGACCTTCACATTCACAGCTATCATCTTCATCATCCTCACCATGAAATATGCTAGATGGTCATAAATTATGTCAAGCAATTTTTAAAGTATTTGGAGGCCCATCCTCCTGCAATCTTGCAATGCATCACGAAGCAGATTTTACGCTAGAATATTAAAAAATTTCTTGAATAGAATTGCCATTATTCAAGAAATTTAACATAGATTTTAAAAATTCTACTTCATATTTGCATTTTCAGCACTATTCTGATATCTATAGGCTGAATGATAGACATACAGTTTGGAGAAAAGAATAATATGGATACATTACCTTTTATTAAAATTTAATTGAAGTGTGAGCCAAACAGTTATTATACATTCAGGGTAATTTTTGCATCATCAGGTAAACCAAGCAAGGCCTACGTGTAAACCAACCAAATTCTGCCGAGCCTCAGGTATGAAACGATATTCAAACCAACCATTCATTAATGACTAACTGTTGATTTAATGAGTTCAATAAAAAGGCTATATTAACCTTTCTAAAGGCAAGTTTACACCTCTCCAAGTGACCTGCAGCGAGCCTCTTACTACGACTTCTTTGACAATGTAAATGCTCACTTTGTCCAAATAGAAACATACGGAAGATGAGTCAGCAATTCCGTTTATACTTCGAACCAGTTGAAATTCCATCCAGGCAGTAACTCCGAGCAGTATTCATGCTCTCTTTTTCCACCATGTCGAAAATGCCAAGATGAAGCGATAATTTAACTATGGTATTTTTTAATGGATATGCATCTTGTGAAGTATTATGGGATATTTCACTGCCTAAATATTATGACCATTGTTTACTAATACCTAAATATTACATAGATATTGTAAGATCTACTTGCTTATCTTCTAAGTGACAACTGTATGTGTAGTAAGTATGTAGAGGAACATAATTTAATGTTTTTATATAATTACTAAGATTTTCTATTTGGCTACATGATGTAATGTTTTTGCATAGTTATTAACCACTTACCAGTTTTGCCCGAACGCCGCTCGGGTGCAGCGAAAGGGGACTTTTCTGATTTGCCCGAGCGGTGCTCGGGCAGCATGTTTTTTTACGCCGATCCACTGATTTGCCCGGCTTTTTCTCATTTTTTTAGTTTCCATTGCTTCTAATAGATGGCTCTAGTTGTCCAGTAAAGACTGGCTTTCAAAATAAGTGTAAACCGGTTTCATCTGGTTTTACTGCTTTACGCGGGAAAAAGTGCAAATTTTTTACTGTATCACGCGTTGCGAATACTTTCTTTCCTCATTTTGTGTTACAATGAGTGATAGTGAGCGGCTTATTACAGAATATAATTCTGATATTGGGAATCAGACAGTGAATCGGAAATTTTCGCTAAATGATTCAGGCAGTTGTGAAAGTTCGTTATCGGACTTCTCTAGTGACGAAGAAACCGAAAGTTCGGATAAACTAACTCAGGTTCGGAACTTTTGCGAAATTGATATCAATAATCCTCCTCCCCACCACCGCCAAGATTTCCTTTCACAGCGAATCCTGCTATCCATTTGGATATTGATGGTAAATGACGGAACTTTACAGTTTCTTGATATTTTCTTCTTCGATGATAACCTACTTGAAGTGATAGTTTCGGAAACCAACAAATATGCAGATCGAAGTATTCGAAACTGTAATCTTCGAAGAAATAGTAGAGCAAAAAAGTGGGAACCAACATCAAAAAAACGAAATTCAAGTGTTTTTTTGCATTGAATATTTTACAAGGGATTGTAAAAAAACCTGCTATTGAACTATATTGGAGTAAGCGACATTCAACTTCAACGCCATTTTTCTCAAAAATTATGTTCTTACTACCGTCGTTTTCCCCTAATTCATCGATATTTACATTTTTCCGATGATGCGAAAATTTGATGCTAAAACATGAGTGTCCGAAATTACAAAACTGTGGCCTGTAATAAAACACTTGAATGCACTTTTATCAAGAAATCATGACACCCTGAAAGAGATGTAAACAATAGATGAGAGCTTGATGCTCTTCAAAGGACGACTGCACTGGAAGCAATATACCACTAAAGAGATCACGATTCGGTATAAAAAGTTTTATGTTATGCGAGTCAAAGTCTGGTTATGCATATCAGCTTATTATATACACTGGAAAAGACACACTTTTCGATAATAATTACCAATATTTGTGCAAGTCATCTCAAGTTGTGATGACACTTATGCAGCCACTATTGAATAAAGGATATTGCCTAACGACAGATAATTATTACACATCTCCAGAACTGGCAGATATCCTTCTTTAGCAAACAAACAGATATGTATGGAACACTCAAACTCCAACAGGAAAGACGTTCCAAAGGAACTGCAATCAAAAAAACTAAAAAAAGGTGAAGTCCGTGCTTTCCAAAAGGAAAAGTGTGTATCATCAAATGGATGGATAGAAGGTTGTAAGTCTTTTATCTACAATACATAATCCCGAAATGATCGAAAGTGCCATCTCACAATGATGAGGTCAGAAAAAAACCACAAGTAGTAATGGAATATAACAATACAATGGGAGGTGTAGACAGACTAGATCAACATCTTACCAATTATCCCATCATAAAGAAGAGAGGAAAAAAATAACTACAAAAAAAATATTCTTCCACCTTTTTGAATATATCACTGTGGAATGCTTTTTTTTGTACCAGAAAGCACGGCGGAAAATACTCCATTTGAATTTTAGACTAGATTTAGTTGATCGCCTTGATTGAAAGGCATGGAACAGTAAATGAAAGAATAGGACGACCAGGAATTTTTGCCCAATCCTTTACGATTGACGGAAAGACACTTTTTAAAGTGATTCCTGCCACCCAAAAGAAATTGAGACCGACGAGGCAATGCTTTGTGTGTTGCTCAAAACGGAACGAGAGTGGAAAACGGATCAGAGAGAAACAAGATATTTTTTGTCCTGATTGTGATGTTTGGACTTTGTTTATATCTCCATGCTTTAAAATTTACCATACAAAAGCTGACTTTTGAAATAAAATGTAAGTATTAAAAAAATATTGCATGCTCTTTCTCTCGCTTCCATTCCTGTAAAATGTTCTTTACAGTTCAGTTAGTTGTTCTTAAAAAACCCACTTTAAGTAAAAATGCCATTTTGGTACTTTTCTGTTTTGCCGGCGCAAGCGATAAAGTCATCAATAATGGTACAACCGATGCCAAACGGAATGTTCTCGCTGGTAACCTTTTACGCCTCATTTTCAAAACAAGTCGCAGCTTTTTCTTATCAGATTGATTGTTTCTTTCAATACTGGCATATCATTACATAGAATTTTTATCAGATAGTTCAGTTTTATGTCTAAGGCAATTTTCGGCAATTAAGTCAATTAGGATGCAATCACAGCGTTTACCCGAAGCCGAAAATATAGAAAAAGTTAATGTCAAGGGTTAAATTCATCAATTCTAATGAGAATGCATTAGCGAAGTAAAGCACTGCAGTTTTACATAATTTCTGAGTAAGTTATTCGTACGAAA